TATATTTAATATGAATAGAAGATATAAGGTAACATTCAGCAGAGACCACGCCTGCATGGTCGAGCCATGCCACTCGATCAACTCCAGTCCATTCAATTCATTGTTCGCGCCTTCTCCATTGTTAGGTATTTCTCCGCGTTAAATATTGAATATCTATTTTCTGAGTAGTCTCGTGTTCACAGCTTTGTGGATTGTGTGGCTATTGTCCAATGCCACTACATTAGCACGATGCATACAAATATCTGAGTCATCTGACACGTTGTAAACTTTGTTTTGCACGATCCAACTAGCTATCCATGTAGGATCTTTTTCACGATAATCCACTTACTGGCGGCCCATTGTTTATGTGTAAGCTATAGTTAGAATAAGAACAACTAGGCTTTAAACCTTACCTGTTTCTAAACGCCAAAATAAAAATTTGATTGGTACAGTAGTTAAAAGAATTATACCCATTAAGTGGAACGCACAAACATATCAATCAGTATTGCGTGTCTTATCGAAATGAATAAAAACCATAAGTCACACCTATATAATATGATAATAATGCTCCTCATTTGGCATGTTACATGCAACAGGAATAGTCTAAGACATGTTTGACGTGGTGGGCGTTTGGGCAACAACTTGGTTGCTTAGTTATGAACACAACCAACATGCGCTTAAATCCAATCTTTATTCCGCAGACAACATCAGAAAAATGAAGAATGGAAAAACAGTTTGACCTGAAAAAACTTAAGCTGAAGCACCGAAGTCAAACATAGAACTAACTCCAAACATGAAGTACATGTGCCACCGACAGACTGTAAATAAGGATACCTTATCAAAATGCCGAACAAAGAAGATCTGAGTCAATGCGAAAACTACAGAGGAATTACACTACTATCGGTACCAGTAGACTTTTTCAACAGTGTTGCCGAACGAGATGAAAGATTCAGTGGATTCCCGATTTTGAGGTCGACAGGCTGGATTCCGTAAGGATCGGTCGTGTACAGACCCTAATCGTGACACTACGAGTTATTGTCGAACAATCGATTGGATGGATATTGTCACCATCTATTAACTTCCCTGACTATGAGAAGGCGTTTGACAGTGCGAACAACCTTGTGGAACCTTTTTCAGCAACATGGAGTGAGTAGCTGACAACTTCGTCAACACCTTGGGGGACTCATACGACGGGCCGCAATGCGAAATCGTGCTTGGAGGACAGCTGACAGATGCACTTCAATTGAGAGCCGATGTCAGACAAGGTTGCTTACTCACACCATTTCCCTTTCTTCCAGTGGTTGGCTGGATCATAGCGACCTCAAAATCTGACAGGAAGTACGGGATTCAATGGAAGGCTTGGAGGTGGCTAGACGATCCGGACTTTGGGAATGACCTGGCTCTTCTATCCTACACACACCAAAAAATGTAGGTGGAGACGACTAGTATATCGGGAGCCTCTGCAATAATGGATCTCAATATACAAAAAAGGAAAAAGTGAGATCTTAAATATAACACAGCAAGCACCGAACCAATCACAATTAATGAAGAAGCAGTGGAAGATGTGGGAAATTTCACGTATCTGGGTAGCATCATCGATGAACTTGGAGGATCTGATGCAGATATAAAGGCGAAAATTGGCAAAACAAGAACAGCACTCCTACAGTTGAAGAACATGTGGAAATCAAAACAACTGTCAGTCAATATCAAAGTGCGAACCTTTAATAAAAACATCAAGACAGTTCTACCGTACGGAGCTGAAAATTGGGAAACTACCTCAACCATCATAAAAAAGTACAATTATTTCTATGCAAGATACTAACCAGATAACATCAGCAACAATCAACTGCAGGGGAGAACAAACCAGTTTGCAGCTGAGGAGGAAATTAGGGAAAGACGCTGAAAGTGGATAAGATATACATAACGGAAGTCACCAAACTACATCATGACGCATACGCTAACTTAGAATCCTGAAAAGGAAACGGAAAAGAGGACGAAAAATGAAATACATTGCACCGGGAGTTGGAAAATTGGCTAGAACTTGTATTATTTTATCAAGTTTATCATTAATTGTACAGTTGTGTTCTTACAATCAAATTTTACTTCTTTTATTATGCGTAGTTAGTGCTATGTATTTCCTGTGATCACTGACCCATGAACTTCAGTTGAGTTGATACTTTCATGCACCTGTATACCCACTCACGTTTATTTCAGTAAAGCTTTATGGAGATGCAATATTGTTTGTCTATATTTGATATTCTAACATACAATCGGCGTATTTTTAACATTATTCATAAGTCCAAGGGTGCGCCATCATTTTTGTTCACCGTCAGTTGATTGGGATGGAAGAATACCGTATATATTTAGGGTTGGGTAGGAGATTAAATAAATGCGAAGTGTAAATGGTGGTTTTATGAGTAAAAAAAGTAGTCAAAAGTATTTGCAAAGTACAGTATTGTTATATTTATTAGAAACATACCGTCATTTCCATGTAGTGCAGTAAAGTAAATAAAAAGGCTCAATCATTCAGTCACAATGTTTATTATACAAAATGAAGGATAAGGTGTCACAGGTTGTCTTAATCTGACATACAAACATTCAGTACAAAGACGCAAGAAACATAATTCCTAGAAAAGTTAAAGAAGTGAATAACTTTGAAGCTCTATACTACTTCTATTCTAATGTTTCGTTGTTAATTGACTCTTATCCATACAGTTTCATCGCTAGAGATCCAGCATCAAAACTCACTGGAATACAAATTGCTCAAGAGGTTATCTGGAGAATATCTGTCCAATACGGTTTATATGCAAGTGAACAAGAGACTTTCAACCCCAGACGAAATCACTGTTAAGACATCGGCTTACTGATGGCGGATGGTCATCCAAAATTTTGTATAAGACGAGGCAGAATTGAGGGCTTTTAAGACTATCGTTGTAAGGCGTGTTTGATGGGGAATCTCTACTCTCATTATGAAAAGATCTAATATTCCTGGGACCAGTTTATGATTTGTGACAGCCATCTAGAGGCAAATGAATCCCCATAATAAATAGTTCTGTAAGTCTCCCACACTGATGTTGACACCATTATCTCTATCAGTCAAAGAAAAAGAAAAGAATTCAAACGACAAGAAGAGACGAATATAGAAAAATTTCGCTTGTATTCTGTGTTTGCCAGTGCTATCTTACGAAATACTTTTAAGACGCCAAAATTATTCGGATTACTAAGAGTGCCTTTACCACTGAGAGGAACTGTGTATAGGGGTCTGACACGTCGCGCCCATTGAAGTCAGCTTCTGTGCAACAGAACCAGGCTTCTGTGTTATCGGACCAGTAGGGCATCAGGTGAAACGAGGGAGGCGAAAAAGTCTTAATCTTAAATAACTTAGGAGTCTGTTTTAACATGATGACTATAACGTATACCAATGAACGAGAAAATAAGTTCGAAAATATGAAAACAAAATTTCAATATTATCAGAAGGGTTTTGTGGAGTATTTAGTAATTTTATAGTTGAATTTATGGGTCAGCTGAAGCCGTACCAACATGGAAAACCTGGAAGTACTGGATGGCTGTTTCGTCTTATTATGGGACTCCTCATCAGTGGGCCCGAATCTCGCGGAGCGAGATCGTGGATGCGCACTGCTGAGGAGTCCCATACCAGGACGAAACGGTCGCCCAGTTCTACAGGTTTTCCATGGTGGTTTAGCTTCAATTGACTAATGAATTCAAATATAAAACACCACAATGTGTAAAAATGAAAATTGAAAAGTCACATAAGATGTTCCAACAAGGAACAGACTCACAATTTACGAATCGGTGTACCAGGTCACGTCGGGCTCACCATTGAAGATGCCACAAGTAGTCATACTTCGACAACGCCTTTAGCAGTAAAGATGCCACATTATTTGGAGTTTGAACTTGCTTTAAACAGTAACACCTTCCACTATGAATCGTAACCACTAAGTGAAATCAAAAGACAGAAGTGAGGAGTTTCGAAGACATTTTTGATAGGCTATCAATAAATTGAGGATCGTCTGATCTAATCTGGCTAGCGATTGCAAGAGATGTTGAGGATGGTGTTTCCACTCGTGATCTGGTGCAGATGTATGACCGAGCACCTTCAGCTAGGTGAGTCCATTAAGAACAGTATGGCCAATAACCAATGTCGAAGACTTACAGAGCTATTTATTTTGGAGATATGTTTACTGTTACATCAGTAACACATTTATCATCAAAGTATACCTACACAGTCAAGTGAGAAGTTAGAAGTGGAGATGTTCGAAGATATATTGAAAGGCTTTCGATATCTTGAGAAGCGCTAGACCTAAGCCGGCTAACGGTTATATATATGTAGCACGGAGTACCCAGTAGTGATCCGGTGAAAATGAGTTACTGAGTGCCTTCTGCTAAATGTGTCCATTAAAACTAATTCGATCGGCATCGGATGTCAAATACTTGCAGAACTATTGATTTTGGGGGGTTTTTGCCGCCACAATTCCGTAATCAGTAATCCCGAAGAAAGTTAACTCAGTAGTCCGGAATGAAAGAGTTCGAATATATATTTGGAAAGTAGCATGTAAATTAGGCTGAACAGTTGTTGCAAGGAATGTGTAGTACGACGTACCGACTGGTGATGCGTTGAGGATGCGTGAACAATCGTCTTCAGCTGGGATGTGTCCAGTTAAGCTATTGAGGTAAGTCTTAATATCAAAGATTTAGTAAACTTTTTTTACCGCTACAATAGTGATAACTTTCTTAAGAGAAGTATCAAAGAGGTTATTTAACTGACAGACTCTTATGGCCAAGACCACTCTAAATCTTTGAACCGTCATTTTGTTCCAGAATAATCTTATACAACAGGGTTTTATTGTAAAAATATTTCCTGAATTAGATATGGTGGCGAGAAAGCTGAATTTACAAATAAGCAGCCTCAGGGTAGGTCAGTTAAAATAGAATTACACAATATACTGACCACTATAGACTATATCATTTTTAGTTGATTGGTTGTTTTAGTGGTCTATTTTGTAACGCGGGGTTGTACTGTTTCACTTCCATACTCATCTGTTGTCATGTCTTCGTTTCGTGCTGCTGGACTGGTTGCACGGCAGTTGTCCAATAGAAATCCATGTGTGAGTTGACTTATGGATGCATCTACTTTTTCGGTCTATATAAACCCAAAATAAGCAGGTTTCAATCTGTTGCGGTTTCTTTTGTCGGTGTAAGAGTCATCCTGATGGTCTTTTTGACATATAACTTTAGTAATATTTCTAGTAGCGACCTCCTATTTCTCGCTTTGCAGCCCTTCTCATCCTAGGTAGTTATATCTCTTAGATTATCGACCAGTACTTACGTCAGGTTGATTCCTAGAAATCACATTGGTATTATATGCTATAGCGTTAGTACAAGTTACCTAGTGAATGCGTTTGTATAAATCTGATTAAGAGTATGTGTTGGTCCGGGTCGCCAAGACAAAAGATTTTGACAGCGAGTGATCAAAATAGTGTATTTCATCAGGGGAAAACTCGTTGAGAATGTATTAGATGACATGACATTAAGACGAAATCGTCCATGCACGTAGTTTGCTTCAGTAACTTCACAAATATAGTATATCAGTCTTTCAGCCAGAATTCTGTGGAACAACTCCTTACTGATAATGGAACTTATCATAAGTTATCCGAGCTCCAGGCAACTTAATTCTAGGGTTTTAAAACAATCCGTCCAGTTAATTTATTTTTAAACCTGTATATTATACGTTCGTATCCTGTGCTGGAAATTTTTAGAAACAATACTAGAATCACAACTTTTATATGTGTCAAAGTTAGACTGCACCTTAAAGCGTGACCGTTTAAACCAACAAACTTCTAGGAAACATCAAGATGAAATTTGCAAGAAAAAAGTATAGTAAATATGCGCAAATCATATTCGCTGACAGAAAGGAAGTGTGTAGCGGAGTATTTGATTTGCAGACCAAAATCTCTAGTATATGGTGAGTTCTGACTTGCTGCCTAAGGTCCAGTATTCTAACGTTTCGGTTACATCTATGGACCATCCCCACTTGCCTCAGCCTGCACAACTGAGTGGCAGTACCTACTCTTGCAAATACCAAGTATACGAACACGTTCTGTTGAGGAAGTGCATCATTAAATATTCGGATGTCCATATTAATACATATTAATTTGTCTTAAGAACTGGTATTTTTCATAGACCTGACTTGACTAAGTAAGAACACTATTAGAATGGATCCATGTTAACAGTCATCTATGTGCTGTTCGGCTAGACAGCTGCGTAAGAACTCGGAAAGATAGGAACACACTCTGTTGCCTTTTCGTCGTTTCTGCATATATTCGCACCGACTGCAGCCCGGATGAAGTGAAAGATGACTTAGAGAAAGCTAAACGCTCAAATATAATACTCGTAACGAGTAACTTTAATGCTCAAGTAGGTAGCTTAAGTCAAACTCTAAGACATGTAGGTAGGTATTTTAGTATCCCGGCTCAGCGAACAGATAATGGTGATCGTCTGCTGCAACTGTGCTAAGACAATGTTTTATTTTTAGCAAACACAAATTTTAAGCATAAGGAGAGACATCGTCTAACATGGCGACCCCTTGCACCGGACCAACGATGAATTCAAATAGACCATATTGCCATCATTCATCGTTGGAGAGGCTCGATAGAAGACCGTTGCTCATTCTGTAATACCTGCTTGGATTCCGGGCACGCATCTGCTTGCGCCTCACAGGACGCAGAGAAACCACATTAAGAAGACCCATTAAAATTGAACTGAGTGACGAGAAAGCCGAAAGTAGATTCCAGGATCAGCTGAGGTAGCTCTTAAAACGAAGCTGACCCAGATGTTGCTTGGAAAGATATGCAAACAGCTTTGGAAATAGCAGTGACATTTATTAGCGATTTAAACCAAAGGGTTACAAAAAACCAATAAATTTCTAAGTCTATTGCACTGATGGATTCTCGTAAACTCATCACATCAGGCTCCGAACACGATGAAGAGCGAAAACAAATCAGATCTAGGTTAACCAAAAGTCCAAGGGACGACCATGAGCAGTGGTGGGCAACGAAAGCAAGTGATGGGAAAGGCGGCGACTATAGGGAACACAGGAAAGCTCTACAGAATAATAAAAGAAACTGAAATTTATAAAAAGTCAAGTGTGAGACGATCGCCAAAAAAGGATGACGTTCTTATCTGCTCTCTACTCAGACGTTTAGAACGATGGGCGGAACACTAAGGGGCTGTTCAGCCACTACCACGACCCACCATTCCGAACAGCCTGAATGGAACATTGAAGTAGGCTCCCGACTCTGATTAAAGTCCAAGAAACCATAGCTAATCTGAAACAAGGAAGAGGAACTGGTTCAGATGGATTGGCTCCAGAGGTCTTTAAGCATGGTGATCCAATTTTGGCGATTAGGTTGATTAATATTTTAGAACCTGGGAGTTGGAGATAGTCATATCTGATTGGTCGCAATCACTAATTGTCCCAATATATCAGGGGTGATCGACACCATCCTGTGATAACCACAAAGGGATTAGATTGACCAAAATGCTAGCCTCAATAGTTATCGGGCGCATAACAAAGACGGGCGAACTGTAAACACGAATAAATCGGGCTGGTTTCAGACATAGTCGTGGCTGCATCGACCACATATTCACCATTCGTCAGGTTCTAAAACAGGCATGCTTATAGGCGTCCGACAATGATAGTTTTTCTTGACTTGAAAGTAGTATTTGACTCTGTAAACCGAGAGGTTCTATGGCAGTGTCTGTCACTGAAAGGTGTACCTCAGAAGTACATAAACCTTGTGAAGGTTCTCTACTACTACTAGTCGAGTCAGAGTTTATGGCGAGCTGTCATCTGATTTCGCAACCTCAAGTGGTGTCCGTCGAGGCTGTTCATTATCTCCATTTTTGTTCAATAACGTCATATATCTACTGCTAGAAACAACGTTCTCGTTGTCTAAATTTTCAGAAATTAATCTCCTAGGAGGTCCACTTATCGATTTAGAATACGCAGATGATATAGTCCTGTTTGGTGACGACTGGTAAAATAGTCTTGGTAACACTGAGCAACAACACCAATATGTTTAGGATGCGGTTCTACCCCTCTAGATACAAGTTGTTGCTTCACGACTGGTCTGCGTCATCACCTGAACCAAGGTTGGAGAGTGAAGTAGTTGAACACGTTGACAGCTTCACTTGGAAGTCTGATCAGCCCTAATGGGTTGAAGTCTGACCAAATCTCTGCACGGATTCAAAAAGCTCGTTTGGCTTTTGACAACTTACGTCACCCTTGGAGAAGGCGAGATATCCGTTGATCAATTAAGGGACGAGTATACTACGCAGCAGTTCGTTGTGTTCTATTCTACAGCAGCGAAATGTGGCCATTAAGAGTAGAAGATACTCGTGAGTTACGAGTACTTGATCACAGATATCCTAGAAATATTGCTCGCATCTGCTGGGATCACCGGGTAAGTAGTAGTGAGATTAAACGCCTTGTACCTTTATTTCTACGAACTGCTTCATTACTGTATCCTTATACTCAATCTTTTATATACTATTACCATTTAAGTAACTACTATGCATATATGTGCCTGGTCCTACGTTGTGACTGACTGAGCCTTATAGTTCTGTTACTTCATGTAGTTTAGGTGTTTGTAAAAGGCTCGTTTTGTAATTAGACCATGATTTCCAAGCTGTAAGTTTTCGGGTTGGAATCTTGTTCTATCGGCTTGGGCTGGTGTGCATATTCAGTCAGGTTCTGAAATGAAAGGAAATGTTTGTTTTTGATAATTAAGCTTCATTGTCACTAAATGTAAAGTGCACAATGCGATGGTAAAAAGCAATCTCACACGTGCTACTGATGATCCTAAACCGTGTAATTCAGAGTCTAACTATTCGTTACAATATTTGCGTGGACTCTAATCATGTGATCCTCACCAACCTACATAACTCAGTTCAACAGTCAGTGACTCTATGGAATTTTGCTGCGTCTTGATCTGACTGCCTTTAACTTATCTCTAGTCTACTACACCAGACGCATCCCACTTATGCCCATTTGTTGGATGACTTGACCATATGCTTTATCATTTTCCTTTGACAACTATCGGTTTGTTCCGTTAATTTTAACTGAACCACGTGACATACATAAAAGCAAAGACAAAATTTAGGCTTTTTATTAAAATAAAAGAATTCTAGTTGTTTTGTTTCTCTAAAATATGTTAACCTAGAGCTGTTTATAACACCCTTTTCCTCTGCATCATGATATCACAGCCTATATTTTTCAATTCCTAGTTAATTTAGCACTTGTTATTATTAGCATGTACATTGCATACATGTTGCTACTGATCTGTAAAATTAATGTTTTCCTCTCTTTATAGGTATTTAAACAACTTAGATGCCGATGGCTATCCACTTCATCTACCTTAAAAGCTGGAGCCCCAGAATTCTCCAGTATTTTAGAGGAACGCATTTTAGGACAAACATTACAAACAAACTTGGAGGAAACTGGACGTGTCCTGAGTATCGGTGATGGGATCGCACGTGTCTATGGTCTGAAAAATATACAAGCGGAAGAGATGGTGGAATTCTCGTCTGGATTAAAGGTATAACCATCTAAAGTGTTAACGTTCCTTAGGGTATGGCTCTAAATTTGGAGCCTGACAATGTTGGTGTGGTCGTTTTCGGGAATGACAAGCTAATCCGTGAAGGAGATATTGTTAAGCGGGCAGGGGCCATTGTTGACGTGCCTGTCGGAGTAGAGCTACTTGGTCGGGTAGTTGATGCCTTAGGTAATCCAATCGATGGAGCAGGTGCTATCAATACGAAAACAAGACAGCGTGTTGGAGTTAAAGCTCCAGGTATCATACCACGTATTTCTGTTCGTGAACCGATGCAAACTGGAATTAAGGCTGTTGATAGTCTCGTTCCCATTGGCCGTGGTCAGCGTGAACTAATCATCGGAGACCGTCAGGTATTTTTAAAATTTTCAGTAGTGTGATTCGTCTTTAGACAGGTAAAACGGCTATTGCAGTCGATACTATTATTAATCAAAAGCGTTTCAACGACGCAGCTGATGAAAAGAAGAAGTTGTACTGTATCTATGTTGCCATCGGACAAAAACGTTCAACAGTTGCGCAACTAGTCAAACGTTTGACGGATGCAGATGCTATAAAATACACAATCATTGTGTCCGCAACAGCATCTGATGCAGCTCCGCTTCAGTACTTGGCTCCATACGCAGGGTGTGCGATGGGAGAATATTTTCGTGATAATGGAAAGCATGCATTAATAATTTATGACGATCTATCTAAACAGGCTGTTGCTTATCGACAAATGTCACTTCTGTTACGAAGACCTCCGGGGAGAGAAGCTTATCCTGGTGATGTGTTTTACTTGCACTCTCGATTACTGGAAAGAGCTGCTAAGATGAATGATTCCTATGGAGGCGGTTCACTAACAGCCCTTCCAGTCATTGAGACTCAGGCTGGTGATGTATCTGCATACATTCCAACGAACGTTATCTCTATAACTGATGGGCAGATTTTCTTGGAGACTGAGTTATTCCATAAAAGTATAAGACCTGCTATCAATGTTGGTCTTTCTGTTAGTCGTGTTGGGTCTGCTGCACAAACTAAAGCTATGAAACAAGTTGCTGGTCGCATGAAACTAGAGTTAGCTCAATATCGAGAAGTAGCTGCTTTTGCTCAATTTGGTTCTGACTTGGATGCATCTACTCAATCGTTGCTAAACCGGGGTGTTCGTTTAACGGAACTCTTGAAACAAAATCAATATGGTATGTAAATCTAAAACTAATCACTCATTTTATTTAGCTCCAATGGCAATTGAACAACAGGTTGTTGTAATATACGCTGGTGTTAGGGGACATTTGGATAAGTTGGACCCATCAAAGATTATCCACTTTGAGAAAGATTTTCTTAAGTTTGTCCTAGCAAATCATCAAGATCTCCTAAAGACCATTCGTGAAGATGGAGAATTAAAGCCAGCAACTGATGAAAAACTGAAAAAGATTGTAGTCGATTTCTTGGCTGGGTATCAAGTGTCTCCATAGACAATCAAATAAAGTATGCAACTATGGTAGTATCTTTTCATAGGATTGGCGAGCTCAATAATGTTATTTGCAGATTTCCGTCACCAGTTCTTTGTACTTAGTCTTATTAATAATAAAATTACCTTGAAAGAAAAGTGCTTCAACTGTTTATTTTTGTATGGTGTGTAAATTTGGAAACGCAACAATCGATCGGTTTATTTGAATGTGCTCCACTCGATGTATGGTTATAGATGTTTTATTAACGATTAGTCTAACATTTGTACTATTATTAGTAAATGACCGTATAAGGATGATTTATATTGACGAAGTCCTCATTGCCAATTCTTAGAAATAGAGATATGAACCGTGTTCTTTTATGTAGTGATACCAGTGAATTGTATCGACTGAATGTTCTCGCAACTATGGTACTGCATGGAGGTTTAAAATGTTAGTGGGAGCTCTGTACTCAAACGAATCCCCCTGTCTATGCATTACCCAGTGGGTGGAATGCCGGAAATTCTTCATGAGCAAAATATAAATGCGTATTAAATAAACGTCCGACATTTGTCAAATTCCTGTTGTGTTGTTGGTACTTCTGATTACTTACAAATTTGGAAAGCAGTCCCCTAATTTATGACCTAAAAATTTAAGATGGATATGAGACATTTTGTGTCTTGTGCAGAACCAGTAAATAATCTTGTCGCAATCGGGAATCGATATAAGTTAGACAGCCACTTGGGGCTTTGAATGGCTGTTTCGTCCCACCGAGCTGTGCTGTGAGATTTATTATCCCTAGATATTGTCATTACTATGTTAGAAATCAGTTGTTTTAATTTCCATTTGAAATGGGAATGGTTAAGTAATACCTGTATCTTTATATTCGTCTTAGTCTTGTTGATATTGCCATTGTTTACCTAAAGACATGTTATCAAACCATTTTTATACTATTGTGAATTGCAACCTAGACCGATCCTAATTTGTTAATTACTTGACTTTCGAAGTGGTACAATCGTGGGTTTTCGGTCACTTTTTAAGACAATGCAGAGAGGTGAATAATATTTTGAAGCGGAAGTGGTTTGTGAGATAGTTATCTAGTCTACGACTCCATATCTCACATCCCAAAGCCTTGAGAAAAAGTGTATGATGGCGAGATAGTATAACTGCTTCTAGTACTCAATTCTTGAATAGAGTTTATCAATTCGTCTGACTGAATGACAATAAGTCTGTCCCATACTACTGTTTGGTATTGGCTATTCATTTGTTTTGCGATGTTAAAGTATAGATTTGCCGTGTTGGCGTTTTAGCTTTAAATATAACATTTAAAGTATGTGGTGTTTTATTAGTCATACCAGTTTCTCTTTTGTACCTTTTTTTCAAAATGCAAATGCTAGAGAAAAAATGATCGTTTACGTGCTTTTTGAAAAGAAATGATGTGCTGTGTATAGTTGCTACTTTCTTTCTAAACGAAATTACACATATGGTCATACCTATTTTTCGAATATTTAACCGGCCAATTCTTCGTACAACAAGCAATTAGATCATGTTCGATAAAATTTGTGCAAGCATTGATTATAATCTACCGGTTACAATGTAAATACTGGAAATAGCCTTGGATTAGTCTCAGATAAATAGCTTAGAAATGCGAATTATACTGTGTTACTTTTTCAAGGCTTAAGCGAATGACGTAATCAATAGCTAAGAGTTGGCTTTACAATTAACTATAATAACTAAGTACATTTTACCTGTACGATTGAGCGTTGATTATTGATTTTGCGTTTGAGATTTCGATAGATCATTAATCCCATTTTAGTCAAATACGATTTTCAGTATTTGGTGATTTAAAGTTTTTTTCGCTTAATACACTTGTTTTCGAAGTAAGCTTACTTTCCTTATGTTAAAAAAACTTATACTTAGTTCCATCTTGAAGAATTTACCATGCCTAGGAGTTACGGTTCAACTTTTATAGTGTTTAACCTTCATGCACTTGGCTTTTCGTACTCTATTCCTACTTTAGTTCGATGTGAGTTATATTATCACTATCTCATCCGAAACGCCTTGATTTTTAACCCAATAGGTGTGCCTATGCTTGTCAAGAAAGTTATATTGGGATATCAACCATACTATGGGAAAACGGCCTTGACGTGTTTATGCCATTTTCCTTGTATAATGTCAAAAGCTCTATTATTATTTAGTTTATTTGAAATGAACAATGTAAGGTTTTCTTCGAAAACTGAACAGTTATTTCTGCGTGGGCTATATCTCAGAAGTGATACCTGCCTGCGACTCCAAGTTTCGCGTTGAGCATGATACCGTTTGATCTCTCCCTCCCTCTCGAAATGCTCTCACGCGTATACAGCCTCTTCCAGAGAAGTCCTACTCACTGCCTTCTCGTGGTGGAAGTGTTCTTCACGAAATTGAGAGGACGAAAAGCGAATATTCGGCGCTTTAACCGGGCCAGTGAGTCCACCTATGGGAGTTGGGAAACCCTGATTCCAAACCAACGGTGCACGTGGGCTGCAGTATCATGAGGTAACAAATGGTGTATGAACCTATTGTTGGTCACCGGCTACCATGGGACTGCATCTCCACACGATGCTTCACTGCCTTGTGGATCAGGTCGAAGGCTCCGGGTGTGGCCCCCTAAGAAAACCACCTACTTCGGTCTGGGCACCCGGGCAGTCTCACAGCACACACACAAATACAATGAAATGACGATAATTACTTAGAATACTATTCTCGCCTCGATTAAAAGTCAGGTGACTGACATTCATTCCTCCTTTTTTAATACGTCACTTAGTTTCCATAGATATAGAGAGTTCATCATTAGCGTGTGGGCTGCGATATTGCCCTGGTGCCCAGACCGAAGCATGCGGTTGTCTTAGTGGGCCACACCCCGAGCCTTGAACCTAAACGTCTAACCCACAAGGCAGTGGAGCATCGTAAGGAGATGCAGTCCCATGGTAGCCGGTGACCAACGATTGGTTCATACGCCATTTGTTCCCGCAGGATACTGGAGCCCATGTGCACCATTCGTTTGGAATCCGGTTAAAGCGCCGGACATTCGCTTTTCGTCCTCTCATTTTCGTAAACAACAGTAATGCCACGAGAAGGCAATGAGTAGAACTTTCCTGGCAGAGGCTGTATACGCGTGGCCGTGTGAAAGTATTTCGAGAGGGAGAGCGGACTCTCCCCACTCTCGGCCGTACCAGGGCTTTTGGGGGCTGACATCCAGTGGCAACACCATGTCAATAATGCAGAGGTTCGGCATCGTGTGTTCGGGCACAGAGATGATAATGCGATTGGTGTCACCATTTTGAAACACCGACTTCGGTGGCTTGGACATGTTCTATGAATGTCGTCCCAGAGAATTCCACGTCGTGCATTATTTGCCGACTCTGGGACTGGTTGGAAGAAGCGGAGAGGTAGTCAGTGCATGACATGGTGTCGTGGCATGAAAGAAAGCTGCAAAAGACTGGCTTGTGTCGGTCCTTCACGACTCCCTGGTTGGGGTCCGAGAGATAGTGCTACACAGTGGCTAGAGACGTTATCAGATATGGCTCAGAATAGAAGCCAGTGGCGATCCTGCTGTAACCTTCTATTACTTCCTTCATAAAAAGTGGTTGTGTCTTCTTTAACTGAAAGATTTCTTCTGATTGTACCTTTCCGTTCCCTCATTATTACTATTATTAATACTACACTACCTTACACCAGCCTCTTCGTTATTCTCTTTTTTCTTACGCTCCTTGACTTTTTTCTTTCTCTTCGAATTCTCATTGTTTTGTGTGGCGCATATATATTCGGGCTCTCTTGTACCAATATTTATGTGTTCAAATAAATAAATAAAAATACTACGTCACTTGTCCGATCTCTTTTATTCCCACTGTGTATCCTTATTTCTCAACTTATACAGCAGCTCTCCTATGGTGGAAACTGTCCTATCTAAACTATCACGAGTCACTGACTGGTCGAAAATTGAGTGCTACCGCCTAATACTGAAGGTTTTTCCGAGATCACGTGCACCATTCAAACTGGCTTACTTCAACTTTCGCACTCTAATGCAGACCAGACAACAGATAGGGCTGGCTATGTCTTTAGAAAGTCTTAATATTGGCGTCTGTTGGCTATCCGAGACTCATATTCACGACTCTGGTGAAGTACTACGAATTCGCTCTCCATCTGTCGCTTCAAAAGTCTTGTTATACGTGCGTCTATCTGGAGACCATGTGGCATCTTCGTCTGGTCTTGCTAGAGTTGGTGTCTCACTAAGTGCTAGAGCTGAGGCAGCACAGACCGATTGGGTACCCAATAACAGTCGGTTATGTGCTGTTAGATTATAAAGTTCCATCAAAGTGAGAAGAAATCAGTGTGAGGAACGATGTCTTTTCGACATCTCCGCCTATGCCCTGATAGATTGCAGCCCGGATGCAATCAAGGATGAAGTTTACCACCAGTTATCTGTTCTCCAGAAAGTGCGTTCGACAGATATTGTAGTACTAGTCGGAGACTTGAATGTTCAAGTCAGGCGTCTAGACACGTAAGAGAGTCGTTTAGGTGGCCGGTGGGGACTTGTTGGTCGCAGGACAGATAACGGTGACCGTCTACTGCAACTGTGCACAGACCACAACCTGTTTCTGGTTAGCACTAACTTCCGGCACAATCATCGCCGATGTGCCACCTGGCGTCCTCTCTCTGTATCTCAAGTCTGGACTCAGATTGATCACATCGTGAGTCTACTTCCGATTGCGTCCAAGCTATCGGCTTCCGTCATACTTCGTAGGTTGTTCAAAACCCGAGAAAGAGTGACTCGCAAGGAACAGGCTGGTTTTCGTTCTATTTAAGGATGTATTGATCATATCTTCACGCTCCGCCAAATGTTAGAACACCGCCATACTTATCAAAGGCCAACAATCGTAGTGCTTCTTGACATCAGGGCTGCCTTCTATTCGTTGGACAGGATTGTCTATTGAAGAAGCGCGTGCCTGAGAAGTTTATTAACATCCTAAAAGCCCTACATACAAATATTTCAGGCACAGTGAGGACATACAACCACCTTTCTCCATTGTTCCATTCAAGTAGTTGGGTTAGACAGGGTTGCCCGATCTTACCATTCCTCTTCAACTTTGCCATCGATGACATTCTGGAAGCAGTCTTTAAATACCATC